TATCACGTTCCACATGCATTCAATCAGGTTCGCCTTGAATCCATGCCTTGGCCTAGTGCGCTGCGCTGTACCCTTCAGATGGTGCAGCTCGGTTGTAGCCCAGTAAAGTACTATTAAAGATTAGCTAAAATTCAGGTTCGCAATTCACTAGGCGATTGATGAGGTTTGCGTCTACTTGGCTATTCATTTTATGGCCTAAACTGAAATTCATGCTATGGGTTTAGTACTTAGTTAAGGCCACAAGGGTGCCGTTTATTAGTTCAGTGATCTTAAAATCAGCAAACGTAAAGATAGCGAAGGTAGGACTTTCCAAGTGATTCCATCACGCTTCTCTGTTTCAGCTGAAAAGCTCCATTTATACGTTTGGTGACAGGCCCTGATATTCATACACCTTTGTAATTACAAACTTACGTTTCACGAAGTAGATAAGTGATAGATGCGTGAGAAAACTCTTTGGTTAGTCGTGCCTGTTGCTATGGGCATTGAAAACATTGTCCAAAGCTTACCCCGTGCTTACTAACTTGGAAGGAGTGGAAGTGTGCTCAGTCTAAGCATTGATGAAACGTCAGCATAAAACGGTCACTTAGCCTCACTAACTAATCTTACTTCATGTTTCAACAGGTTATAACATCCCATGAATTGGGATCCTGAGGCTCTCTTCAAGGTACAGACCAAACAGCAGGGCTCAGAGCGAAGGACACGCTACTTGGCAAAAGTGGTCCCCTTACCAGCAGCCATCCCCAGTGCTCCCCATAATAAACCCCTAGAATCAGCCATTAAAGCTAAGTTGGTGAACTTTCCGTACCACGGAGTAGCTGATAGACCGTAAAATCACTAATCCCGTTAATAAATTTATAGAATGAGGGGTTTCGTCATCGTTGTGAACTGGATTCGAGGACCGGAAATGCGCTGGCTATTACGTGCCTCCATTGTTGCTCGCGGATACACTATTAAAGAAGCAGGGAACTACGAAATCAGATTCTACTTGCTATGCTCCTCTGCCTTAGCATTGCTAACTGAATGATCTTCTCGTGTCGAATCCTGCAAGACAGGAATCGTTTCCAAAGGCTAATGTTTGAATTGCTTCACTGATCTTCCCATGTGTTTCATTATTCACTCATTCGTTTAATAGTTTCCAACGTCGAGGTTCACTATCTACGGCCACCATAGCAGCACTCGCGACCTCTCTGTGAATACGGAAAATGGCAGCTCTATTTGGAAGCCAGGCGAAGGGATCTCCTTTTGCAAACCAAGACTTTAACAAATAAACGACATGACGT